CAGGGTCTTTGCACATGCCCTTCTTTCTATATGGAACTCTCCCCTACAGTTCCTCACATGGTTAATAGTCCAGCTTAGCCTTCACATCCCCAAAAAAATATCATTCCTTCAGGGAAATCCTCCTTTGTTGCAGACTATGAATCTGGAATTCTTCCTTGTCCAGCAAAAGAACAGATGCAGAACTGAATACAAGAGAGGGGCTAATGCCCAGGAGGCGACAAGAGCCCTGAAGAGGGGTTTCGTCTCCATATTTCTTGATCTCACAAGATATTACCCACATGGAGAACATGAAGAAAACAACATCTTACATGCGTAAATGTGGAGAAGACAATCAGACAGTAATCATTAACTTGTGTGTGTAAGAAGCAAAGGGTCTGGCAGGGGTGGGGTGCAAATGGAGTTTGTGATCAAGGTGCCAGATGGAAAGTAATTTCCTGCAGGTGATCTAACAGGTTACTCGTGATCCCATTAACATTAAAACATCTTGCTAGCTAACCTTGGGCGTTTTGCCTTAAGCTTTTTTCTAACCCATTTATGTAAGTAGAATCTATTTCCCCACACTTCCTGCTTCCCCAGACAAAGTCAGGCCTCTTTACTCTAGGCTCCCCAGCATCATGCACTGCTTCTCTGCAGCACATATAATTTGTTCCTTCATGCCATAAAGGCCCTAAAGGGTCACAACAAGCTTGACAGCTTCCAGCTACTTAAAGAGGGTCTGTGAGGCTGGGAGAGTGGAAAGGGGGAATGAGTAGGTTCAAAAGGCAAATGAGTCAGGCCCATAAAAGCTTCATTCAGGATTTTATTCTAAGCGCAACCAGAAGATGCTGGAGGGTTTAAACAATGGAGTGATACAATCTGATTTATATTATGAATGGTTCCTCCAGCTTCTGTGTGGAAATGGATGGAGGTAGGAACAAGGCTAGGAATATAGTGGGGTCATGCTAGGGGTATTTGGTAGAGGAGGAGTAGACTGATTCAATGTGTATTTTGAAGGAAGACATCACCCAGTGTATTGATAGATGGAATGGAATGTTTGAGGAAAAGAGAAGAATCAGTTTGTGGCTTGAAGTAACTAGTAAATGTGGCATTGTTTATTAACATGGGGAAGACTGGGAAGGAGTAGGCAAGGGAGGGAAATCAATGTTGTCTTGGTGAGTTAAACTTGAAAACTCTTTTAGATATGTAAGTGGAAATGTCAAGAAAGCAGATGGTCCTGCTAGGAAAAGTCAGAGCTGGAAAAAGATACCCGGCAATCATCGACCTATAGGCAGATTTAGCAGGATCAAGGCTACTGGCCAAGTACAATGAACGAAAGGGTTGGCATCAGTATGGAACCACAAAGCCTGAGTGAGCAGGGAAAGAAGGACCTGAGAACAGTGGGATTAGGGGAATGGAGCAGTGAAAGTCACCAGAAGGTGATGTAATTGCCACAGAGGGAGCCCTAGAGCAGGAGGGGTGCAGGGATAGGGGGTGGTTGTCAGAGGGTATTTAAGGAGGCAGTGACCTCTACTTTGGGACTCACCTCTTTAGGTTAGCTCTCACATTCCAGTCCCAAGCCCCTGCTATGCTGCTGGAGTTACTCTGCTCCAAAACGTCTTCTCTGCTTTTTGGGTTCCCCTCCTTCCGTGGAGGCTGTCGCACACTCTGCAACTTCAATCCAGTTTAACGTGCCTGCGGACCGCCTACGCATTGACCATTATATGAGCTCTAGAAAGGCTCCACATGCATTCATGAACACCTTCCCAAATCACTTCCTGCTTGTCGCTGCTCTGCTTGATTTCTCACCCTGCGCTACTCTGCGCAGCCCCCACACTCTTTGCCCTAGTCCAGAGTCTCGGGTCCACTCTCCATGCAAGATCGTGCTTTCTACTCTGGATTCCATCAGATGGCAATCACTGCTCCATTTAACTCCGTGGCACTAAGCCTCTGACTGACATGGCACCCCAGCTGGCCCTGCCTGGTTCTCCCTGAGGGACAGGATTAGAAAACACCCACAACCCCCTCTACGACCCCCTCTGTGGAAGGCCTCCACCAGCAGGTACCATCTCTGCCCTGACGAGCTCCACCTCCCATTTTCTCTTTATACTTGAGAATATGTTCCCATCCGCTTTGTAAACATGTTCTTTCTGGCATGTTTTAATTGTCTGTAGAAATGTTATTCTTCTCCTTAGTTTCTTTTTTTTTTTTTAACATCTTTTTATGGAATTCCATCTCAATCTTTTTGTTGTTCATTTTTATAAGGAATTTGATTGCTTTTCCTTCCTAACGTCATGGCTCTAGAGCCCCCTCTTCTGCTGCTTTTGTGAAATGTTCACAATAGGTTTCCCTGTCTAAAAATCCGTCTCTCCTCTTCTTTCACCTGGACTTTCTTTTTTCTTTGTCTCTGTTGATCCCGTGCTATGTTGGATCTTATTCCCAGCAGTCTCCACTCATGGTGGGGCCCTGTCTTGGAAGGGAGTTTTGTCTGGTTAGTTTTGAGGGCTTGTGGGTCCCTGACTACCAGGCCCTTCAGATCTTGTCACTTGCACACAGCCTAGCAGAGTCTAAAAACTCCTCCAGTTCCAGCCATCATTCTCAAGTTGGCCTAGTACATTTCCGGTGAGTGCCCATCTACTTGTTTGGGAGATCATGGCATACATCAGATGCCCTGTTGCTCCCCTTTGCTTTCTCCAGCACAGATGTTGATACAATTCTAGTCTTGGAGTGTTGGCGGGTTCATGAAGATACTTTGTCAATTAGCTTTTGTGCCAGTGTTGGCTATGGATTTGGGGAATTGGGGGAGGAGGGTCTATCTAATTGCTTTAATTTTAGAGGTATATGTGGAGAAATTACAATATTATGCCACCACTGCCATTTTCCCAGAATCCCTTGGTTTATCTGTTTATCTGATATCTTTTAACAACACTCTGAGGTGCTTACCATTATACAGACGAGGAAGCTAAAGCCCAGAGAAGTTAAGCAAATTTCTTAAGGGAAAACATTGTAAGCAGTAGAAATAAGATACAAATCCAGGCATTCAGCCGATGTAGCATATACTAACCACTCTGCAAGGCTTCATTTAGCTGTCCGTAAGCTATCAGAAGGATGAGTAGAAACTGAACAAATGAACAATAGGGAAACACTTGTTTTCAGTTGAAAGAACGGGATAAACAAAGGCCCTGAGGCTTCCCTGATCTTGAGGAATTGAAAGAAGCCAGTGTGGCTAGAGACTTGTGAGACATGGGAGGATTGCATGAGATGCTGCACGAAAAAGAAGCCAAAGTAGATTATTCAGGACATTGCAAGCCGTGGAAGGATTTTGCATTTTATCCTATATGCAATGCAAAGTGGTCCAAGAAACTCTAATTTTACACAATGGAACTCAGAAGAAGGATTACTTTACTCCACTTAAAGAACTAAATTCTGTGTCTTTGGACCTAAAAAATGATTTGACCACAGAGAAGATGGGTGAATCACACAGTATGGTGCATTCATTGCCTTTTAGGAAATGAACCAAGATAGGAGGAAAATGGTACCCAGGGAATGGAAGAGTCATGAGAAAGGAAGATAGATAGCTTGGATAGGGGACCAGTTTGAGAAAACCCTGGACAGTCCTGCTCAGCACGCTCCTGGGAGCAATGGCCTTTCTACATATCAGTTGCTCCTGAGGGAAGAATGTTGACTGAGCCATGGATCCCGTGACATAGGCAAAGCTAAAGAGAGCTGCTGCTTTAGGCTGACTACAACAGCACATTCTTTCAAGAGTCTGCATCCTTTTACAATTTTGGGACTCTGCATCAGAAGGTCAGCAGCATTCACCTGTCAAGATATTTTGGGTAGTAATGACTCCCCTTTCTTGCTATTCATATCAATCGCCTTTTGTTATAGTCACCAAGGCTTTGTGAGTTGGCTTTGTGATATGTCTTCCAGACAATGTAATATTTGGCACTTTCTCTATTCACATTCAAGCTTCAGGAAAAGTATCAGGGCCTGTGATTCAGGCATTATTTTTATCTACACTACATGGAGGAGAGTTGCTAAGATGCTGTGGGATTGTCTTTCTGGGATTTCATATCTTTGATAAATAAAGCAGAGTCACTTTTCCACACTCACTTTTAATTTCTAGAGCTGTTCTAGGTTTGCATTTTAAACTCTGCCCTCTATGGAATCATTGGGAATTATTTTTTAATGTTTTCTATGATTTATTTTTGAGAGAGAGAGACAGAGTGTGAGCAGAAGAGGGGGCAGAGAGGGAGACAGAATCTGAAGCAGGCTCCAGTCTCTGAGCTGTCAGCACAGAGCCCGACATAGGTCTTGAACTCGTGGCCTGCGAGATCATGACCTGAGCTGAAGACGGACACTTAACCAACTGAGCCACCCAGGTGCCCCTGAATCATTGGGAATTATTTATGGAAAGGCCACAGGAGAGGGAAAGGGTCATGGGTCATAGGCCATAGCCCAAAGGGAGGTCAGGACAGCTCTGCTCAGCTAAGGGCAATCATGGGAGATTATCACTAGCCATCCAGCTAGTTTAGATGGCAGGTAGGAGGTGGGGTAGGAATAAGGTGAGGGACTCAGGACAATGCTGGGGTGTGCAGCTGAGGCACTTGGTCCCTGGAAGGGAAAGGCGGCAGTAGTGATGCCATCATAAGATTTGATGCTTGACATGAGCGTGATTGTTTTCTACTCAGCTGGAGCTACTCTGGATGGAAACTGGTGCCTCCAATTTACTTACACACCCCTACATGAAACCTCTCTTCCTACACCAAATGAGCCAGGGATCCTTTACTTAGCATACCAGTGCTTCTCAACATTACCTGGGAACACGTCAGAATACAAAACAGGGACCCCATCCCAGAACTACTGAATGAGAAACTCTGGGAGGGGGGCCAACAATCTGTCTTAACAAGCCCTCCAGGGCATCCTCATGCTCCCTGAAGACTAAGAACCCACGCATCACGTTAAGCCTAGAAGCTAAGTAGGAAGCATGGGGTGGCCCCTGAAGTCTCCTTACCTCTGGGGATGTGGCATTTTCCCTGCATCGCTGGCACAGACCAAACCGTGTGCTTTCCATGTGCTCTCCATTCAAGCCAGACCCTGTGGAGGAGTCAGAAGTCAGGGCCAGCTGGAGGGCACATCCTGGCAAACTTGCTGGGGAACAAGGGGATCTGTGCCTTCTACACAGTCACAACGAGTAGGCTTTAGAACATGCCCTTTTCCAAACTCCTCCTTATGCAGTCAGAATCTTCATTATCCACTGGTAAAGGAGAGCAGAATAGCCACCTTAAAATATACCACATTGGCATATTGATTACTTTGAATTAAAGTTACTTGAGAAACAGCTGATTCAAGAAGGACACTCTGACCTCCTTTGTCCTCCTAAAAGCAGGAAATAAATCTCCCATGTGAATGTACGCTCCCTATATCAAGAGGATGGAAGGCATCCTTATTGCCAGAGACAAGGAATTTGGGGCTGAGGGGGCTCTATAAACAAACCTTGTTACCTCATTACTAATTAGCTATCCCAAGCCCAAATACCTTTTTTCATCAATTCTTCACAAATTTTGTTTCCTTGCCTAAAAAGTATAAAAGATGCTTGCTTCAGCCAGTTCTTTGAGTCTCATATTTTTATGGGCTCCCCTACATATGAAATTAAATTTGATTTTCTCCTATTAATCTGCCTTATGTCTATGTAATTATTAGACCAGCCAAAGAATCTAGATGGGAAGAAGGGAAACGTTTTTTTCCCCTCACTGACAACTCCTTGTCCCAGGTTGAATATCAGTTTATCTGCATTTGTCTAAGCAGCAAAGGAAGGCAATTTCCACAGATGAGGGTCAACTAACTGTGTTCATACACTCCACCTCCCATATAATGATGATGATGACAACGACGATGATGATGATGGTGATGATGATATGATCCCACTGGAAGTCATCTGCTTCATCAACAATAAGATTAATTGGGACACCTGGGCGGCTCAGTTGATTAAGCATCCACTCTTGGTTTCGGTTGGGGCCATGATCTCATGGTTCGTGAGTTCTAGCCCCGCATCTGGCTCCTTCTTGACAGTGTGGAGCCTGCTTGGGATTGTCTCTCCCATTCTCTGCCCTTCCCATTTCATGTGTATGCTTGCCAACGCACACTCTCTCTCTCTTTCAAAATAAATAAATAAACTTAAAAAAATAATGAAATGAATGTACGATGGATACTTGGAAAAATCTCTCCAAAGGCAATCTTTAGGAATCTTCCCTACTACAAAAATGAGGAAACATTTCTCTCCTCTTGCCCATCACTCAGAATCCTTTATAGAATCACTTGCACTAATGTTTGCAATAAATCCAAGTTTGGGAGGGTGGAGTTTGTTCTTGTTGTTCGTAGTGTTTTATCTTATTTTAAATGGAGGTTTGGAACAAAGACTTCAGAATCAGGAAGATTTAGAAATACACAACTCACTTGCTGTGTATCTTGTAATCTAAAGCAATCGACTTAGCCTCATTCAGCCCTTCTAGGGCTCTGTTTTCCTATCTGTCTAGTGGAGATGACTGTCTATTTTACATAGTTGAGCAAATTATAATAAAATAACTTGTGCTTACTCTGTAGAGTACCTTTTTGTCTCTCCTGCTGTTTTCTCTTTTACTTGCCTTGTGTAATATTCTTGCATACAGGAACCTCATGGGTGAGACTCCTTTCCATAAGGGAAAATGAAGGATATTACCTTGTGACTTTCCAATTTTTAATAATCCTTATATTAGTAAAATCAAATCCCCCACTGGACTAGAACACTTCCTTCTCTCTATAAGCCTCTAGAGTTTGTGTCTCATGTCCACCTGGAATGTTAGAACCAAAAAGGGCCTTAGATTTGGTCCATTTAATGTATTTTTTTTCTTTTTACAGTTGAAAAAACAGTGATCACTAAAGCCAAGATGACAGGTTCAAGGTCATTTGGTTAGGTAGTAGCAAAGCACAGATTCCAATCTATTCTTGTCCATCTTCCATTCTGTTATCCTACCTAACAGCGAAATTGAAGACACCACAATTTTCCCTTGGTTAGCTTCCTGCTAAATTTTTTAAAAACTGGAAAGAATCTGATTTTTCTTCCACTCATTCCTGGCTCAACATTATGCACCTACATTTTTTAATCAACAAATAATGGAACAGGCATGATCATGAATATACTTCAGAGAGCAGAAAGAGCAAAATAATTCCATGGATCTCAAACATCTTTTTAAAAACAATAATCTTTGCAGAGTCCAGTAAGGAAATGCAGAAGCCCTCCCAGACCACCCACACGGTCCTGCATTCAGGAACACCCAACAGGAAGCCAAAGACATGACCCAGAAAGGAAGCTAATTAAAGCACACAGCAGGGAATGAAGCCGGCCACCTGCATCATCAATAACCAGTGTTTGTTCAAACAACTGTAGCATTGAAAGAAGAAAAAGTAAAGAAAACTCCACTGTTGCAGTTGATTCCAAGAGAGGCATGCTATGATTTCTTTGATGTTCCACCACAGGATTTCTGCAATAAGCAGCCCAGCCTGAAAACAGAGCTGCCCCATTGGGAGGTCAGTACAAAACCAAATGATATCAGGAGAGGATGGACCCAAAGATCACTACACGTGTGACGAGGATACAGAGCAAGACTGTTTCCAAATGTCAGATTTGTACTTCCTGATCCCCTCCTCTTGGGCTCAGGGGTCTTAAACCCTTGATAATTCACTTTGGGCCATGATAGTATCATCCACTACTGACCTCTTTGTGTTCCTACTCAAGACTTACAGAAAAGTTGGGAATGTGAGCTCCTGCTTCTGTGTCCACCACTTTCTTGTGGCCCCAACACTGGCAGAGGCCATATAGGAAGCTCTTCACCAACTCAACCCTAACACAACACATTGCTGATGGTATCATAGTCCTGTTCATACATTCCTCAGGCCCCCTGTCTTTCTCTCAGATAACACTATTTACTCCTACTTTTTCAACTCTTCATGATCCCTTTCCCTAATGATGCCTCTGGAACAGTCTTCTCTCCCCTCCCCCATCCCCCCAATGACTGAAAAATAATCCTCTGTTTCAGTGACTCCTACAGCCACTGGGCTTTCTATTCACCAGTTCCCTCCACTTATGTCTTTGAATGATACAGCTTTTGGAATATCAGTGATTTGTGCTTATCTATGTAATACCTGTGTGTCTCTTCACTCTTCTTATCCACATTTAACTTGGACTTAAATATCCCAGTGAGCTATCCACAGTGTAAGAAAAATAAAAAGGTTCTCTAGGAGCCTCCTAATTTTCCCAAGACATATGCTTTGGTTGTTATCCTTAAGTATTATTGTTAGCATTATTTAACAGTGAACTGGCTGCTGAGAAGAAACAGAGATGTATTCCCTTCTCAGTGAGTTAACAACTTAAATCATAAAAAAAGCACATATATATGTTTGTTATACATAACTTCCTTCAGTTTCTGCATATGTGTGTGTGTGTGTGTATTTAGAGAGTATACACACACACACACATCAAGGAAAGCACAACAGGAGAGAAAACAAAATACTAAGGAGATTGGTAATTACGTTGTAAGGATGTTTGAGGTGCACAGAGGGGTATATGCTTCTACACTTGATCTTAGCCAAAAGGCCGAGAAGCGATTGGGGGGTGTATGCTTCTGAGCATATGTTGGCTAAAGCCTGGGAACCCGCCAAAAGGCACTTGTGAGACCCTTGGAGCGTTTCTTGGATGACTTAAACTGGCAGCAAGCTAGTTTCCAACTGGAAAATATTTCCTTTACTCAGTTTAAATAGTCAGTGTTAATTGTTCTAATCACTTTGAAAAACCACCTGCAAGTCCCTGGATCATGAAGGCTATTCCTTGGCCACTCCCAGATGGGTCACAGCTTGCTGTTACAGCATGGGCTATAACCTACACAGTCATTTTCCCTACAGAAGAGAGTATGTTTCCAGTATGCACAAGACACTAGCAGGCCCTAGGTCTCTGTCTTCATGGAGTTTACACTCCGGTGGAGTGGACATGCTTACATGTAAACCCATGTGATTATGTCTTTCATTATGCCTGCTTTGGAGATCAAGTCCTGTGAGAGTTCATGGCAGACACCCAGCCTCTGGGAAGGGAGGTGGGCAGAGAAATTTTCTCTGGAGATGGGGCAATTAAGCAATGATATAAGAGGTGAGTAGGGATTAATCAGAAAAACAGAGGGGTTGGCAGCATCTGGAGGCCCATTAGCAAAGAGAGGGTGACACATTTGAGGAAATGGACACTGGCCAATGTGACTACACAGGCAACATTAGCCATACATGAGGTTGGAGAGCCAAACATGGACCAGATCAGGAAAGGTCCTGTGGCTCATATAGACAATTTTGAATTCTATTCCAAGTACAATTGCTAGTCACTGGAGTGTGTTAAACAGCTGGATTTGTGGTCTGGTAACTATGGAACATGGAGCAAGGTTGAATGTTTAAATCACGCTTATCTTTGGCCGATATAAAGAAATAGTGCTTTGAATATCTCTCCAATTTGTGTATGTCTTTTTACAAATTAAGAATGTCATGTGAGGCCTTTATCCTCTCAACACCTAGGATCCGGAATTCCATTAGGAATCTGCTTCTAACTGCCCCGACAGGATGGGGGATGAGTCTGGTTCTGTTTTGGCTCTGGTGACAGCAGACACACCACTTGTGTGCTACTTGTCTGCCCTCTTGTGTTTACTTCAGATCCACTACTGTGTAAGCCTGGTTTCCACTATAGAGCAGACTGGGAGTGTGAATGAGGGAGGAGATGGCGGGTTGGGTCTGTAGGGAAAACAGCGTCTAAGTCACAACACGGAGGAAAGTAACGCCATCTTCCTCACCCTCATTCCCCTGACCTCCCGGGATGAGTGTTTAAAACTTGGGTTTATGAGATTAGCATGAATAGCTATGGAGTTTTGAAATGGATTAAACATCGATTCAAAGTTAGCAGCCTAAAAATTGACCAAATCCATACAGATTACGGAAATCAACATCTTGAGGCATAGTCTAGTTTAGTAAGAGCTCATTATTAAGAAGGAAATTTTGTTGATCCTGAGCCACTTCTGCCTCCTCAGATC